TTTAGTTGATTCATAACGGTTTTTGACTTGGTTGAGTGGAAGTGAATTTTCTAGTTTTTTTTGTCAAAATTTAAAAAAAAAAAAAAAAAAGGAAAAAAACCTTGAGATTTTAATCAGCGGTCACTTTTTTAAATAAGGTATTTTAAATAAAAATTTTTTAATTATAACTCATTCAATTTAATTTAATTACTTTTTCTTTTTTAAATTTAATTCAACAAAATACGCAATTGAAAATTAATTGGGATTTGTAACATAATTTTTTTTTTTTTGAAAATTAAGCATATTGTTTAAATAATAATTATAATATTGAGGAAAATAATTTAATATTAAATTTTAAAAAGAGTAAAAATACGTTACGAATTTAAAATTATATACATACAACTTGTAGCTTTTGCAAGTCAAAAAAAAAAAAAAAATTTTACATAAAAAGTTATATTATTTATAAATTTGTTTCTTTCACCATTAAATTTGGTTTTAAAAGTAAAAATAAAGAACTTTTACTTACAATACATAAAAATAATTAGAATTATTACAACAGAGGTCAATTTTGATCATCTCTCAATCGAATCTGTTGTAATTTAATTTTTTTATGTAGATTTTTTCGTTTTTTAAATTTTGAAACATTAAGGTAAAAAAAAAAAAAAAAAAGTAAAAAACCATAAATGTGTACAAAATATTTTTATTTTTAGTTTTTTTTTACATATTGAAACAAAAAAAATGGTCAATATAAAGTACATGATAATTTTTCAAAAGCTTCAGAGTTCCCCATAATTGAATGAATTTTAAAAATAAATTTTGTCCAAAAAAAATTTTATTCGTGACACTAATTAAGTTGTCGAATGCAAAACATTCGACAACTTAATTATTCAAGTCTTAAATGTTGCGAGATACAAATATTTTATTTAAATAATAATTTTACTTTATATTGTTTTGGAACGTTAACAAAATACTTTTGTTTGTAATAAATGGTATTTTTCTCTTTAAAACTAATACAATTGTAATAGCACTTCATTTTACATGTCATCAAAGTTTACATCAGAAAACGATTAATCTTGTTAATTATGAAAAAAGTACGTTATAAAAAATTTGTTTTTTAAATATTCGAAACATTCATTCATCATGCTTTTCAAAAGTATTGACACTGCCACAAACAGAATCAGCTCGGTCGATTATTATTTCTTGTCCAGAAGAATTAGCACCAGATTCTGAAAAAAATTAAAAATAGAATTATATTTGCAGAAAAAGAATTAAATTTCTTATTAAATCGAATTTAATTGTTGGCTTCACTACCTCATTGTTTTTCTCCAAATATTACATGGACTCCTCCTTATCTTCATACATTCCAGGATCATGTACATCATCGCTTATTCTTAAATCTTCAACATCTTCCAAAACTCCTCCGACTCTATCTGTTTCCATAAAATCCTCTGTGTCACATAAAACTCCAACTCTATTATCATCACCATATGGATCATCATCGATTTCTCTCATCCTTCCTAAAAGTTTTTTTAATTTAATGTTGCGAGTCAAATTTTTTAGTAAAACAAAATCTAAAGAAAGAAATTTTTTTAATTTGAAACGAGTCTTTACCTTGTGTTTGAGAATCGGAATTGTCAACGTAAAAATTATCATCAGCATCGGCATAATCGCTTAAATCTGTCGAAAAAGAAAAAGTTTTTTATTGTTATTACAATTTTATATTTAGTTTAAAAACTTTATATTTTAAAAATTGAAGTAAATTTTACCATCAGAAATACTATCGTCTGGATCAGGATGAAGGGTTTGACAAATATTTAAAGCATGAAAAATGGCATCTAACATTCCTTTATCGTCAGGAACTAATCTTATTTCTGTAGTTGTTTGATCATCGGTATCATTACTTTCTAAACATGATATTTCAGATTCACCATTGAAATCCGTATCGAGCATCATGAGAATGCACTCGTGAGGAAAGGCAGTCGTATCTCTTGATATTGCATGAAGACTTATGTGAGGATATTTTAATGTGAAACCACTACCCGAATCGCTTCCCCATGATAAATAACTTAAAAAGGAGTAATAAGGTAAGTTACATTACATTTTATCCTTAAGTAGATAATATAAAATTTTTTTATACCCTTTAAAAAAAAAAAAAAAAAAAAAAACTAACCTTTCAGCTATAAATAATGTTCCCTTTCCAATGTTATTGTCGTTAACAAAAACGGTCGTGTTCGGTTGTTCGTGACGTATCCGATCTGATGGCCTTGAAAAATTTGTTAGAGCGACCATACTCGAATTATATATAAATATTAAAAAATTTGATAAAACGATTATTCTAAATTAAAGTATTAGACCCTAATTAAATAAGAAAAAAATATATATATATTAGTAACGCCAAAAATTAAGTTGGTCAACCTGACGAATGTTTTGAATAATTTAAGTTGGCTATTTGTTTGTTACCCGATACGTTAAACACTTGTCATCTTTTATTTTTTTTTTTTTTTTAGTAACATTTCTTCATTTCGAATTATTATGAAATATTACACTAATTTTATTTATTTATTATTATTATTATTATTATTATTATAAAATATTATTTACGAGTCCAAACTTTAGAGTTAATATTATTAATTAAATTGAAGTCGCGAAACTTTTTATTATAGAGTGAAAAATTCATAAAGGGAGGAGAGTTATTATTATTAATGCATTAATTGATTGATAATATTTAAATAAATACGTCACTATAAATAATCGTTTTTAAATAATCGTTAATAAACTAAACATATTATAAATGAATTATTATTTATTAGTTCATTTACATATATCAATCATGTACATAAATTTGTTTCAATTACTACATGATATCTCATAACAAAATTTACATATATATATATATATAAAAAAATTGCAAGATGATTCTCATATAAATATGTGCATATCGATTTATCATTTAATAATTATTTTTTCACAAATTCTCATAAATGAACATGTAACATTTAATTCGCACAATTCTTTATTTGCTCGATTACATTTCCCCCCCCCCATCACTTTTGAATTTCAGCTTAAAAGTAAAACGATAATTCAAAACATTTTTCTTTTTACTAATTAAATTTCACTTTATTTAAATATGTCTCTATCTCTCTCTCTCTCTCTCCCATTATTAATTTTTTAATTATAAATAAATTTTTGCAATTTATACATGTACATGGGAATGGGCAAAAGAAATTTTTTTTTTTTTTTCAAGTAAAATTGCCCATTAGAAAAACCCCCCCAACAATAATTTTTTGTTTTTTTTTCAAATTTCATAAAAAAAAAAAAAAAAAAAAATTAAATTGAAATTTTATTATTAGTAACTCGATAATATTCTTTTAAATACAATCATTTTTAAAAAAAAAAAAAAAAAAACAAAAAAGCCAACACATTTATGCATTCGTTAGTAAAAGTTTAATAAAAAAAAAAAAAAAAAAAGAAATGGCGTGTGTGGGGGTGGGGGTGGGTAGTACGACGGGCGTGCAAATTTTCATCGAATAGTAATAATTAGATGTTCATTAGATGAAGCAAAAAAAACATACTCATTCATTGTGATACATGCGACATTTTGGTTTTGTTAAATTGATTCGATATTTATTTAAAATCATCCATAAATCATATATATATATATATATATATATGTATGTATAATTTAAATTATATAATGTAATTTATAAATAATAAACATATTGAAATCGTTTCGTGACCTTACAGAGAATGTGATAAATATTATTATTATTATTTATTATATTTATAAAAATTTTAATTTTTAATTTCTTTTTTTTTTTTTTTTTTAATCAATTTTTTTTAATTATTTTTATTATTATTATTTTTTTTTTAAAATACATTTTTCCTGAACCCCTGAATTATTTATTTATTTATTTATTTATGTATGTAAGACATGAATTGATTTCATATAAATGCTATATCTGACACAATAACAATGATAATTAATATTAATTATTAATTTTTTACAATATTATTATTATTATAAAAAAAAAGAAAAAAAAAATGAACAAAACATAACATAGAAAATGACTTTTTCTCTCTCTCTCTCTCTCTCGCTTTCTTTCTCGCTATCTTTCTCTCTTTACATAACAACATTATTATTATTATTAAAATGAAAATATTTAAAAAAAAAAAAAATTAACATATCTATACATTATTTTGTTAATTATTATCATCATCATCTCAATCATCATTATCAAACACATTTAATTTCATTTGTTCCGTTTCATATTAATAATAATAATAATAATAATAATAATGAATTTTATTCAAAAAAAAAAAAATTATTTTAAATGTATCATCATCATCATCATCATCATCATAATCATTTTTTTCTTTTTTTAATAAATATTTTATTTTATTTTTTTTTAAAGCTCGTCGTCATGCTTACGCTTTTTCATTTAACAAAATATTAATAATAATAATAATAATAAATATGTTATAAAAATTTAATGAAAAGAATAAAATAAAATAAAAAAAAGAAAAATTTATAATAATTCAACAGTTTTCAAAATGAATTATTTGATTTTCCCTTTTCTCTCTCTCTCTCTTTTTCTTTCTTTCTTTCTTTCTTTATCCTTTTCTCTTTTTAAACTTTTTTTTTTTTTTTTTTTAATTCTAATCAATCAATCATTTTCATTATTATTCCATTTAACAGTATTAGAGAAAGAGAGAGAGAGAGAGAGAGGGAAAGAGTGAAAAAAAAAAACAAAAAAATTTTTTAAAAAATAAGTATCAAATTTAACATACACATAAATAATAATAATAATAATAATAATAATAATAATAATCATTCACGTAGGTTCACTATAAAAAAAAAATACGCACTTTTTATTCTTCTTTTCATTTAACATAATAATATACGCATGCTTTTTTAACCGTCAGCAATAATTTTTTTTTTTTTTTTTTTTAATTAACAAACATTATATGCATTTAAATAATAATAATAATAATAATAATAATAGTCATAATGTTGTGAACATATTTTTTTAAAAATATATTATTTTTTTTTTTTTCACATTTTCGCATCATCATCATCGTAATCATTATTATTATTTTCAAAAATTTACATACATATATATATATATATATATAAAACTAATAATGATAATATTAATAATAATAATTTCACAGCTTATCGATTGTAATTTAATTTTAATATTGATTTATAATAAAAAAAAATTTTTACTAAAAAAAAAAAAAAAAAAAAAACAATTTCACGTTTGTGTTTATGTATGTATGCACGTATGTATGCACGTGTATGCGTGTGTGAGTGTGTGTATTGTATGCACGTTCGAACTTTTATATATATATATATATATGTTTTACAAAAAAAAAAAAATTGTTGCTGGTAATAATAATAATAATAAATTTTTTACTGTAAAAAAAAAAAAAAGTATACACTTACATATATTAAGGAAACATATTGAAATATAATTTTTAAAAAAATTTTCTTTCTCTCTGTCTCTGTCTTTCTCTCTTTCTCTCTTTCTTTTGACTAACATATTTAACATTTTATCGAATAAAAAAAAAAAAAAAAAATTTCTCATCAAACATAATAATAATAATAATAATAATAATTAATTTTTTCTTTTTTTATCGTGTCAACAATTTTTTTTTTTTTTTTTGCATTCATACTTTATTCATTTGTCCGTGAGTCACTTATACTTGCTTACAGATAATTATATATATATATATATATATATTTTTCTTATAATTATTTATAATGTCACTGCCAGGAATGTAATAATAACAAAAATCATTATATTATTAATTATATATATATATATATATAATGTTGAATTCTTCCTGTTCGAATTTTTTTTTTTTTTTACGTTTTAAAGAGACGACAGAAAGGTTTTCCGATTTAGATATTAAATGACGCTTTTTTTTGCTCTGACGCCGGTAGTCATTTTATTAATTTTTTGTTTGTTTTTAAAGGTTGTAGTGCCAACGACGACCCACCAATTGTTGTTGTCTCAGTTTTTTTTTTTTTTTTTTTTTTTTTTGGTTTTTTTTTTTTTCTTCTGTTTTATTTATTTATTTTTTATTTTTTTTTTTCTTCTTCCTTTTACTAACCCGAAGATCCGAAAAGACGATGAAAGCGAGAGACGGATCACTTGCAACAGTTACCGGCAGCTTTTTGTCCGTCACCACCTTCGACTAATCTTCTTCCCTGACCGCTCGTTCCGGCACCTCCGGCTTGTTCGTTCTTTGGCAATTTTTTCGCTGGAAAACAGAAAGAGAGAGAAGAAAACGTAAATTGATTGAAAGGTAAGAGAAAAAAAAAAAAAAAAAAAAAAATTTATTTTTATTTATTAAATACTACTTTCGCATGCTATTACGAAAAAGTCTCTCTCTCTCTCTCTCTCTCTCTCTCATTGCAAAACCCCTTCCTGAGACTTCCCTTTTGAATTGTTTTGGTATTTCTCAATCAAAATATTATTATTATTATTATTATTATTATTATTATTACTACACTTTTGTTACTAAACATATGAATTATTACAAAAGTTTGTCATTGTATTTTTTTTTTTTTTTTTTTTTTTTTTTAAACAAAAACTTTTGACATGCTAATTAGATTACACACTAAATGAATTCCACGGTCGATTTTTTTTTTTTTTTTTCGCAACGATTTCGATGTACTAAACTATCATTATTATTATTATTTACTTATAATAACGTAAAATAAAAATTGTTACGTTTGTTTCCGGTCGTTCTTAACAACAACAACAACAAGATATAACAGGTTTGTTTGTTTGTTTGTTTGTTACGCCGCGTTTGTTTTTATTTTTGTTAACCCATTTAATTATTGGTGCGTCATACTCTAACAGCACCGTAAAGTCGAAACGTTACGAAATGGAAAAAGTTTTCCAAGAGTGATAAATGATTTGACCGTTTTCTAAACATTTAAAAAAAATTTTACGAGTTTGATCTTACCAATCGCCAAAAATATTTCATTGACGTTCATGGCTGTCTTGGCTGAAGTTTCCATAAAAAGGAGTCCATGATCTTGGGCATAAGCTTGTGCCTCATCAGTTTCGACCATTCTTTTATCGGAAAGGTCGGCTTTGTTTCCTGCTAAGGCTATAACAATATTTGGTGAAGCATGCCTTTGTAGTTCTTTAACCCACGATTTGGCTTTGCCAAAAGTATCCTATAAAAATCACATTCAAATAAACATACAAGAAAAATAATAATAATAATAAAGATAAATTCGATTGAGAATAAAAAAGAACAAGACACTGACCATATTTTGAATATCGTAAACAACAATAGCAGCTTGTGCTCCTCTATAATACATGGGAGCTAAACTGTGATATCTTTCCTGACCAGCAGTATCCCAAATTTCAAATTTGACCGTTAAATCATCATCACAAATTGTTTGAGTCAAAAAGGCAGCTGAAACAAAACATTTAAAAAAAAAAAAAAAAAAAATGAGGAAAAATAATTTACTCAAACTTTAATTTATCTCACGTGACAAATTAAAGCACAAAATAATAATAATAATAATAATAATAATAAAAAAGAAATAGTAAGAAATGAGACTGACTAACCTCCTATAGTGCTTTCTTGAAATTCGTGAAATTGTCCTTTGACAAACCTAAGAACAAGACTTGATTTTCCTACAGCAGATTCTCCCAATAGGACAAGTTTAAACTGGTGAACTTTACCTTGAAAAGCACCTGTGGGGCGCTGAGCTGTTCCACTCCGATTTGCCATTTTTTTCTACCAAGGCTACCTAAACAAAGGAATTAAAAAAAAAAAAATAAATACATTTAAAAAGAAATTTTTTTCTCTCCCCCCCGCCCCTTCCTCCCTCCCAATTTGTTTTACTCTAAGAGAGAGAATGAATATTTTTTTTTTTAATATTAAATTCTAACTGATTCTCGATTAAAATTACATAAAATAATATTTAATATTGAAATACGAAACTTATTTTTTTGAGAGAGAGAGAGAGAGAGAGAGAAATATTTTATCACAAAATTTAACAGACAAGATAATAATGATGAATATGTATGTATATAAATAAATGAGAGATTTTTAATCAAGTTACAACTTAGACAAATGAAAAAAAATCCAGTGTTAACATTTTTTCAGACAATAAACTTTTATTTTTGCCCCTTCCCCCTCTCTCTCCCCTTTTAATATATGTATGTATCTCATTATTACAATAATTTTTTTTATTAATTAATAATGATATTTATAAGAATTAAAACATGTAAAAAAAAAAAAAAAAAATTGTTTGAATTACAAAGGAATAACTAGTTGAAATGGTTGTGTAGTCAGCTGACTTCCTGGTAAATTACAATGACAGTAGCCATATAGGCTAAATTTTTCAAGGTTTAAGCAAAAAAAAATTTCTAAAAAGGAGAGAAAGAGAGAGAGAGAGACAACACTCACTCAATTTTATTATTCATTTAAATAAATAAAGTTTAATAATGTCTCGATACCTATTTGAACGAAAAGTAATAAATATTTATATATGAGAAATGAAATCACACACACAACGAAAGCAAATATGTGTATACACACACATCGCAATATAACGAGAGAGAGAGAGAGAGAGAGAGAGAGAGAGAGAAAAGAAAATCAAAATCAAAATGGTGTCTATAATAAAGTAATAATAAAAATAATAATAATTACCTTTAATTATTTCCTTGGATAGAGTAGTATTAAATTATATTGTAAAAAAAATTTTTTTGACGATGACAAAACTATTATTATTTTACTCAATAATAATAATAATAAAAAAAAAAAAAAAAAAATGAAATCAACGCACCACCCTCCACTGTGAACTTATTGCATTTTACTACTATGATGATGAAATTGTATTCATCCGCCCCGAACAACAAAAATGATTTTTTCAAATTTATTTATTTATTTATTTATTATTATTATTATTACTATTTTAAATGCGATATTTAAAGAAAATTGTTTTAAAATACTTTTTTTTTTTTTTTTTTAAAAAAAATTACGGCGCGAAATTCAATCGGTTTTTAACAAAAAAAAAAAAAATTTTTTTTCCTTTTCTTTTCTCTCTGTCTTTATGATGATGATGATTATATCGGAACTACATTATATTAACTTGCAGACTTGTCATAGAGTAAGAAAACTCTTTATGAATAAACCCCGTTATGATACGATACGATACGTTTCGACCCTCGTCACTATTAAAAAAATAACTTTTTTTTATAATGATAATACTAATAATAATAAAAATAATAGTTTCAGGTAACGACGACCGTTATTTTTTTTTTTTAAAAACGTTTAAATATTTTCTACGCGGATGTGTAAAAAAAGGCGGTGGCAACGACGATGACGACACACATCACTTGTGCATCAAAATTTTATAAGGATAATTTCTGAATATACTTCGTCGTCAAATGCGATAATGATGATGATGATGATGATTTCCTCCATTGTGTGTAAACATTGAATGAAAAAGGATTTACCAAAAGAAAAACTTTAAACCAGCAAAATTAATCGTACGACATTTATGTTATTTTTTTTTTTATTTTAAATATGTCTCGTTATCCATATATAGATCGTAATCCCTGTGTCGTAGCCGTAAGTATTAAAAAAAATTTATTTGATAAAATGGTATTTAAATAACGAATAAAATAAGTTACAAAAACAAAATGGCGGGAAACGTTTTTTAAGTCAGATTTTGTTTTTTTTTAAAGTTATCGTAGTTGTGTGGATGTGGATATATTTATTTACAGGCAGGTAAACCGATTGGAAATCCTTACGAAAATGTAAGAAGTCTCCTACAGGAAGTTAAACTCCAAGAAAAAATCGACGTTTTAACGAGAGGATTTTGTGAGCTGGACGCAGAAAGTTATGGCGTCGAATTGAAAAAAGGTCCAGGACTGGACACTTCCGGAGCTTTTACGGAAATAAGACACTGCATACGACCCCCGGTTTTGTCACCGTTCAAAGCACTCAACGACGAAATAGAAAATACCATTTATGATTCTTACTGGAATAAACCGTTGGGAAAATCTAGGGATCCGACACCGGGACTACCCGCCGGAATGGACATTTACAATACGACGTTTGGTAAACCTACCATTCGAACGGATCCCGATAATTGCATAATAAATCCAAAACCACCGGAAATGGTTGAATACGAAGAAAAAGCATGTCACGATTTATACGTTTTCACTCACAATAATTATTTTTCCGGCGAACAAATAAGAAGAAAGTGAGTAACTAACTGACTAACTAACTAACTCTATTATTATTATTATTATTAATTAGAAACCGTTTTATTTTAGCTATAAAAAACCATTCAGTCATTACAACGTTCACGGTAGACCCTCTAACAAACAAGAAGATGGATCAAGAGTTAAAAAATGTTTGACTTGGTTCAATAACGATCCATTGAGTAACGTTAGCAGAAGGTTGGCAGCAGTGAGAAATAGAACACTACCAAATTTGGGAAAAGGATTAGACAAGTTGACATTTTTTTTTTTTTCCCCCCCTTTTTTCCTTTTTCTTTTTTGTTCTTTGAGTTCTTCTATTTGTTTATGTTGTTCGACAGAACGGGAGTATCCAACATGTTTCCGGCAGATCATACGTACGGTGCCATATCGCCTAAAAATCCATTCGGTGTTGAAGATTTACTTTACATGTGTCCACCGAGTTTAATTAGAAAAGACGTTCTCACGTTTTTAGCCTACGCGAATAAATTAAGACAATCCATAGATAAAAAAATAAAAACGACGGATTTTACATTAGAAGATTTATTTGAAGAAATTTTAAGTTTAAATAAAAACAAAAATGATTACGATGAAAACGTGAGTTTTAATGATAATGATAATAATCTCTATTATTATTATTATTATTATTATTAATATATAATGTATGTACATAAGACAAACAGTATAAAATAGTTCAGACTGTGGATTTCCAGGATCCTTTTTATCTTGTCACAATGGAAGCCATTGCGATGACGCAGACCAGTGTATCGTGCCTGATTCATCTTTTTTTTCCGTACCTTAATTTCAGGTTCCAAATTATTACGTTCATTTGGATTGCATCGATTTGATAATGAGAAAACACGCGTTGATATTAGACAGGAGTAAACTCGAACCTTTACTCCTCATGCTCGGTATACTCTCTGAAAATTTCGAAATAAACGTGAAGGATTTTATTAAATTCATTGATAAAAACAGTCCATTTCCGGATTTGAAAAAAGAACATTGTGAGTCATCCATTTATGTATCTCTAATAATAATAATAATAATAATAATAATAATCGATTTGAAATAACCGGAAATTGATGAGAAAAAAAAAAAAAAAAAATTAATTTTCGTTTTTGTTTGTAGATATACTCCCGAAAGAATTTCAAGAGTGTGAAGATCCTTCCGTGTGTCATTGTTTTAAAGACGATTGTAAAATAATTTGCATGCGAAGAGCAGGGGAGCCAACACTTCGATATGATTTACAAAAACCATTTTACACTCTTTCCCTCGTCAACATGGATCATTTGGGACAGGAAACGACGGCGAGAACTCTCATTTCACCCTCCATATACACTCAATACGGTCTCAGTCACAGAGATTTTTTCAAAGTAATTATCTATCGCAATGATGATAATAATAATAATGATAATGATGATGATGATGAAATTTCGTAAAAATTTATTTATTTATTTTTTTCTCGACAGCCGAGAAGTAAAAAATTTTTAGGAGATCTTTTCAAAAAGATAAAAGTCACGCTGTCGGATAAAGAATTGGATGAAATTTACGATGAAGGTTTCGCTCTCGATCAAACCGGCGGAGTTTGCGTCGAAACATTTCGAAATTTACTAGACGAAAGAGCTTACAACGAATACAACAAGTACTCAAATTAATTAATTAATTAATTATTTATTTTATATTTGCCGCGGGTTAACTCCCCCCCCCCCCCATTTTGTTTTCTTAAAAAAAAAAAAAAATGGCGTCTCATCTATCGCTTGTTCCGTTTTTTATTCGATGATTTTTTCTTTTCCCTTTTTTTCGCATGTTTTTTCTTCGATGATGAATCGGATTTATTTATTATTATTTTTTTCTTCTGCTTCTTATTATTATTATTTTTTTTCTTCTTCTTCTGATGTTTTTTCCTCTTTTTATCATCATCATCATCATCCGAACTGCTAGAATTTTCTGAATCATCCCCACTACTACTGCTGCTGCTGCTGCTGTTGCTGCTGGTCGTGCTTTCGCTCGAATCATCTGAAAATCAAGTTTGGAAAATATACGTGAGACTGTTCTCGATGTTAAGAAAAAAAGCAAAAAGTGAAAGCGAAAGTGAAAGTGAAAAATTATTTAAATATTTTCTTTCTCACCGGAAGTCGTCACAGAACTCGATGATTCGCCCGATGACGATACAGCAGCAACAGGTTGAACTTCAAAAACTTCCGCTTTTACTTGTCCCTTTAAATGTTCTCGAAGGTCATCCCTGTAATTTTCATTTCAGATAAATATTTTTTTACGCGCACACACGCACACCCACACCCAAAAGTTCTTCATACTCACGTGAGTCCACCCAAACCTATGGATGTGAAAAAATTAATAGCAAATCTTGTATTTTTAGGATTATCCCTCGGGAACAGTCCGGCAAATGCATTTTGTAAAGTCCTGAAAAAAAAAATAATAATTTTTACGTTAGGATTTCGTCAAGGATCGTTTGTCGGGAAAAAAAAAAAAAAATTGGTACTTACACGTCTTTGACTCTTTCGTTTAATTTCGACAATCCCATGTGTTCGGATAATTCTTGAAAAACGATTTTTATAAATATCCTTCCCGAACTCGTCGTGTCCTCCTCGTTCAAACGTATGCAATTTAAAACTTCCCAAGAAATAGCATCGGTGAATAACAAGTGGGCAAAAAATTTTGCCACGTTTCTCAATTGATTGGGTTTCAATCTATACACTGTATCATATGAATCTTTAAACATGTTTTCAAATGGCGGAACGTAAATCTTGTTTATTTTACAAAACCTTTGAGCAAGCAATCCGAAAAATTTCTCATAGGTTCTCATTTCGCAACAACAATCCAAAATCATGTTGCAAAGCTCTTCCTCTTGTCCAGGTTTCAATTCCATTCTCATGAGTTTGTGCGCGCATTCCTCATAGTCCAAACTCGAATATATCGTCAAGTAAATTGTTCTCCTGAGCGAAACCAAATTCGTTTCGGTTCTATCTATGATGACTTCATTTTTCTCACCTAAGAAAACAATTAGTTTTCATTTCGATTCAGAAAATTTTTATTAATAAATAAATATTTACTCACCATCTTCATTTTCTTCTTCTTCTTCTTCGCTGTCTTCATCGCTGCTATCATCATCGTTACTATTTTCTGATTCATTATCAGAATCGTCACTTTCACCAAGCATTTCTTTGCTAAGAGTTTTGTATTTTTCTTCATTTTCAATGTATTGCGAATCGAATTTAAAAACATCTGCAAAAAAATCATTAATCATTGGTCTCAATTCGATTCTTGTTTTTTTCAATTTTTTTAATAGAAAAATTTCACTCACTGAGTATGTCTTCAGCATTTGTGGCATCTTCCAATGTTATTATGTGCGTAAACTGATCCTCTTCTTCGACAAGATCCAAACTTTCAATAATGGCTTCATAATCTTTAAAATTATCTTTTCTTATTTGCAGTATAACTTCTATCATGTAATCAACTCTTTTGTCTAATTTTCCTTCGTGAAGTATATTTCTAAGCATTTGAAAAATGGCTTCAACACCTTTACTCGAAACTTCGGTCAGCCTCATACCGCATTCTTTTAAAAATGATATGGCTATTTCTATTGAATGATCAGTGGGATTTTCAACTAATAAAGTTAATATTTCTAATGCTATGATTTCATGTACCACTCTCTGATTGACTAAATGTGCTATGAAACTTGTCGATGATACACAAATTGATTTATCATTTCTTTTAAATCCTCTTTTAAATTGAAGGACAAGTCTTCTAACTAATAATTCACCAATGTTTGGAAATCTGCTGTTGATCAAAGCAACCAGGGCTGCATAGACGTGTGTGAACGTAGGAGACAAAGCCTGTGCTTGTACTATGGATTTACATAATAATCCTCTACCTCTAACGATATTTTCTTTTAATAATTCTTTTATGATTTCTGCTATGTTACTTGTGTTAACTTTATTAATTAAACCATGAATTGATTTTTTTAAAGCTTCCCAAGCGATTCTCTGATATTCAGCGCTCGATTTATCAGTTATGGAAGCTTGCATCATTTTTAATTTGGCCGGTGGGATATAAGCACCTCCTGTTCGAGAAGTGATGGGATTAACAGGTTTTTTAGGAGGTTGATTACTCTTGACTTCAGATTCTTCATTATTCTCTTTGTCATTATCATTTTTATTTTCACTATTTTTGTTATCCTCTGGAATTTTCACTTCTTGTTTCTTAACCGCCTCATCAGACGAGGAAGATCTGTTTCGTTTTCTCGGTGGAGACCTATCATAATACCTAGAACCTACTATTTGTTCTTCACCTCTTGAATATTTATTCCAGTACCTGTCGCTGTTTCTTCTATATGGTAAATCACGATTTTCATTCCAATAATTTTTACCAATCCTTTCTCTATTCCTTCTATCATATTTATCTACTCTTTTATGACTCTCTCGCGAGCTGTGATATTTATAATTACTATCTTTACTTTTAGAATTGACATATTTATCCTCACTTTTACTTCTACTTCTATTTCTGCTCCTATTTCTACTTCTATTCCTGCTCCTGTTTCTGCTTCTATTTCTACTTCTTGACCTCTCACGTTTTCTACTCCTTGATCTTTTTTTCCTTTCTTTCTTTTTATCTGACTTGTATTTTTCAATCACTTTTTCTTCTTCGTTTTTCTCATCACTTTTACTACCCATTTCTATCATGATATCACTTTAAAAAAAGTCAAATTTGTAAGTAAACTTTAAAAAGCATAATTAACCATAGTGAAGTGTCAATAGAATACATAATAGTTTACATAATTGACTACCAAAACCGTTGTGGCAGACATAAAAAGAAAAAGAGGAAAATACTTTTTAATAAAGATTTAATGTTTGTATTAAATATACTAAATATATATTTTTAATAATTATATTTTAAAATGATTTTATTATTTCCTTTTAAAAATAAATATAAAAAAAATCCCTCAAGTCCTTGTACGATATGAACGATAAGAATTTATTTCGTTTGATCATGCTTTATTTAAAATTTATTAATCAAATCGTGCTAAATTTTGTTTTTTATCCTTAAAAAATAAAAGGATTTTATAAAAGATAAGTTTTTTTTTGTAAAATTATACGAAGGAAAGTTTTTTTATGCAAAATCCATAGATAAAAAAAATTTTTAATTTTGTTCTAATTCCACTTCATTTTCTGAATCACCAAACATTGACCAATACTAAAAACAGTTTGAGTCGCGATTTGCGTGAAGTAGTAGCGTGTGAAGTGATTAACAATATTGCTGACGATTTATATAAATTATTTTGTGTTGTATTTAGTTAAAATAATAATTATTAGTTTTATTTTACAAGTTTTACTCTCAAGTTCCTTTTAAATTTTAAAAAAATATTGTGTAAAGAAAGTTGTGCGGGTGAAGGAATCGGAAACCATGTTCGTTAAACCTTTTCGAATTTTAGTTCCTTTTTGTGTTCAGTTTAGTAATATTGTACGTCGTTTAATTTGATAGTTTATTAATAAAATACAATAACTAAATCGTAATACCATAATTAGGAAGTGAGAGATTTCATTTTCGAGGAACAACCTTTTTGTAAGTAGTATGTTTATTAACTTATAATTATGATTCCTGGATTTATAGTGACTAGTAGTGACCTATTAACGGTTTCTACGTTTCATTTGACTATATAAATTATTATTTTTTCTTTAAACTATTGTTATCAGAAATTTTTATGAATTAATTTTTTTTTTTTTAAACTCGGTTTATTATATAATAATCATCTCTCTCTCTTTCTAACAATATAATCAACCATGTGGCTTTTTATGTTATTTGAATTTTTTTTTTATAAGGATAAATGTTTCTGTGTGTTAACATTAACTACAATTTGAAATGCTTATAATTTTTATGAAAAGTTTTTAATCGGGAAATATTTATTTAACAATATGTTGTCTGAAATGTGGATTTTTTTTTTGTCGGTTTCATCGTTTAAGTTACCAGAAATTATTATTTGTCAACCTGGAAAATTTTTATAGATTTATATTGTCTTAAAAGGTTTAGTATTCTTTTTATACAACTTGTTGTTGTTTGTTAGGTTCCTGAATATTAATACCTTATACTTAAAAAAAGAATTATGATAAAACTGGGTGTTTGAAATCATTTTCGAAAGTTGTTGCTAAAAATTTTTCTCCCCTCTCTTTCTCGTCTTCTTCTCAAATTAAAGATTAAAATTTATTTCTAATGATTTTTAATTGTTGTTTGTCTGTGCATGTGTGTGTGTGTGTGTGTGTGTGTGTGTCATACAACCATTTTAAAAAAAAAAGAGATAATTTTTGTTTTGTCGAATGAATTGTTGATTTACTAGAATGAACAACAGTTATGAATGATTTTAAAAAATTCTATTCGATATTGTTTCAACATGTTCTTCAATGCAAAAGAAAACTAATTATGTTAACATGCTTTGATTTAGTACCATTTTTAGTTAATAAAACAAGAATAATAATAATTGTTTTATGTTGAGTTACTCGAGTATATGTTTCATTCGAATGTTACATAATTCATTGATTCGATTAAAAAAAAAAAATCAATATATTTTAACAAATTACTTTTTTAAAACCTTTTTTTTCTTGTAACAAAATTTTCAAGTAATTTTTGTATTTTTATTTATTCTTGTTATCATTATCATTTCTATTAAATATCTTTTCTATTTCGTCACGTTTTTTCAATTACCAATTAAGTTATTTTTTATTTTATTACTAACGTATTACATTTGAAAGACTAATTACTAATTTTACTCATTTTTTTAGAAATGATAATGTTTGTAACAGTGGTTAACCACCAATGATAATAATAATAATAATTTTTTGAATGAATGAAAGAAAAATGTTTGTTTTATGGTATGGTATTGGACAAATTTCCCTCAGATGTATAATAAGTTCAATGTTTTTGTTATTGTGTGTTTGTTTATGTTTATATTCTGATAGGGCTGAGTGATTATTTAGAATCAGTCAGGGTCAACTGGAAAACTGTCAAAAAAAAAAAAAAAATTTTATTGTATGAATGTTCTCTCTCTCTCTCTCTCTCTCTCTAACTGTGCAAATTGTTATAATTCACTCACACTCGTACTGGTAATTAAAATCCATGAAAAATTCAATTTAACCAATAAATAAATCAAAAAAAAAAATTTTTTTAACGTTCGTTTTTTGGGAAACAATAAATCTTATTCGTTTCTATTTGTGACCCAAATTATTTCCCCCCCCCTCACTCACCCATCGTTCTTACTCGATGCCCCCCCCCCGTTTAATCAGTAGGTACCAGTGAGTATCGAATTTGGGGATTTTTTTTTTCTGTTGCTCTGATGAATGAAGAAAAGAATATTGAAATGAAAATTTTTCGTTTGTAACGGAATTAGAAGACGTGGCAGAAGAAGAAGAAGAATTTGGTAAAAACCAGATGAATGAAATCGCAGCAGGAGAAAATGAACATTATTATTATTATTATTATTATTATTATTATTATTATTATTGACACATAATTTTAAAACATGGCAGAATGTAATTATTGAGTGTGGCATGAAGATGTAATTGTATTGATGTGTCTCTTTTATTATTATTATTATTAGGATTTTTTTATACGATGTTGCTTGCTTCGCGTTGACCGATTATAGTTCGAATTACATTTCCTTTTTACATCGGCGAAAGATTGATTGATTGATTGAATGAATGAATGATTGAATGGTTGAATCGAATCGGGAAAATGATTCACATTAGACTAAAATAACAAACGGAGGTGATGAAAAATAATTATTACTATTTAATTTTGGTTGTTTCAAAAATGTTACGTCATCATAAACGATTATGATGTATGTATATCCATCGTTTCACGTGTGTGCACGTGTGTGTGTGTGTGTGTGCATAAAATTATGTGAATGAATGATATAGATTTTAATTGGGGGGTAGGGAGGGCGGTAGGGGGATTTATTATATAAAATATTTTTCGAATTCCCAATTGGAAACGTTTACTTACGTGTATGTACACGTGCGATCATCACATCTATTAATTTGTCAAAGTTCAAAAGGCATACGTACGTATTTACGAGTAAACGTAAAGAAAAAAAAAAAAATCTCGTAATTTATTATTATTATTATTATTAATTTTTTTCGGTTGTTGTTGCGCATACTTTAAATTTTATTTAGCAATTCCTTAGTGACCCACTCACTTTTTTTTTTTTTTTTTTTATTTATACTTTTTGTGTGTGTGTGTTATCCCCTTTCTCCTCCTTTTCCTCCTCCTCGGATTTCATGTATTAATCATGTTTTTAGTTTTGGATGTTGTGTCGTCGCACCCACCCACGACCCAAGATGCAACAACGATTGTGGGTTAAACCGAGCGAAAAAAAAAAAAAAAATCACTTCCGGCGCCTTCCTTTTATTCAATGAACGTTTAATTATAAAAATAATTAATTTAATTCGTTTTTAATAAAATTATATTGTTATAAACCTTTAAACTACCTTTTGTTAGAGTATAAGAATGATGAATGGTAGAAGGTATTGGAAAATAATAATAATAATAATAAATTTTTGTTTTTCGAAACGCTACGGTCCAGTTTTTTTTTTTTTTTAACTGGGTAAGAAGAGATCGTTAAACTTTACCGTTAGGTATTGAAGGTATTCATTCGTTTTCACTTTCTATTAATTATTTCTATCGGTTATGATTTTCTTTTCTTTTCTTTTTTTCTTTTCCAACGAATGAATTTTCTTTTTCAAATTAGAAAAATTTAAATTAAAAAAAAAAAATTCGGTTCATGCACGAATACAAAAAAAAGGAAAAAAAAAAAAAAATTGATAGTAATGTTGTTAGTCATTGAAAAATATCGAGTGTGTGTTTGTTGTATGTGATTGTGTTTGTTTGTTTGTTTGTTGTTGAAAGTTTTGTGCTTGTGTGTGTGTGTGTGTGTGTGTGTGTTTGAAATACTAAATGAAAAAATTGCCAGGCTAAAATTTCGACCAAAGTTGGTTCAAGCACATAATTAAATTCGTCGAAAAAAAAAAAAAAAAAAACGATTTACGTCAATCCGTAAAGGGTTTTCCCCATATTTTTATATTATTATTATTATTATTATTATATTTTATTTATTTATTTAGTATTATTATTATTATTGTTTCTTTGTTAGTTAATCGTGAATTCGCAAGTTAAAAAAAAAAAAAAAAAAAATCAATGAGGTATGTTTTTTTAACGAAAGTTTTTTTTTAAAAAAAAAAAAAAAAAAGAAACGAAAATTATCTGCGCAATATTTTTTAATTGCGCGTAACTATAATAAAAAAATTGTTTTTTTTTTTTTTTTTTTTTTTTTTTTTTTTTTTTTTAATAGCAGTGGCCGCCCCGCTAACAGTTAAATCGTTATAAGTTGTTACGTTTGTGCTTATACGAAAAAAAAAAAAAAAAACAGGTTTGCGATAAAAACAGGTTTTTCAAAAAAATCGCACAACACAAACACAAACAAAAAAAATAAAACAGTCTTAAAAATGTGTAATAATAATAAATAAATAAATAAATATGATCGATGAGGGGGAGGGAGTGTAGGGAGGGGGGTTTCGGGAGGACGGCACCCCTACTCGTAATTTAAACTCGTGATAAATAAAAATTTTCATTTTTTTTTTACGAATTTCGACATTTTTTTTATTATCATTTGATATGTGAATCGAGTTATTATTAT